CCAGGACACCCTGGTCCCCTCCAGGACACCCTAGTCCCCCCACACCCCCGTGCCCCCGCGGAAGGGCGGGCGGCAGCGCCCCACTTACCGTGCAGGGCCGCGGCGCGGGGCTGCTCCGTGGCCATGGTGGCCCGTGGGCGCCGTGGCCGCTGCCCCGGGGCGCAGGCCGCCCGCGCCGGCTCCCCAGCGCCCACGCGGGGCTCCCCACACGGGGCTCCCCACGCGGCGTTTCGCCCCTCGGCACCCCCCGAGCGCCGCCGCCGCCGCCGCTTTATTTTTGTGCATATAAGGAAGCGGCCGCCGATGTTATCGGCACATGCTTCCTGGTTTATATGCAGATGGGCGCAAAGATGTCACGGCGAGCGAAGCCGCACGCGCGGGACGCGCCGAGACGGCCCCGGGCGCCGCGCGCCGCCCACGGGGGAACCCACCTGCAGCCGCCCGCCGCCGACTGCGGGACCGCCACCAACCACGCGGGTCCCTTTCTGGCTGCTTTTGGGCTCTTTTGGAATTAAAAGGACTGGGCTTTTAAGCGCAAGGGGAGTTTTAGGAAGAGCGCCCAGCCAGGAAGCGGGACTGGAGGAGTCTCATTCCAGAGCTGATGCTGCAGAGCGCAACGCCAAAGCAATCCTTTCAATTGGAATTTGATGTCTTCCTGGTTATTTTAAGTGCTGCAAACAAAAGTAACTGCCTAAAAATAGAGCTGGTCTCGGCAGCAAAGGCCACGAGGTTGGGTCCTGTCCATGCACGCCGCAGGAGCGTKCCCGGTGCAGGTGGCATCTCCATTCCAAGGTCCATCCTGCAGTTTGGCTTATTGTTCCCTTCACTTACTGCAAACCAGCACCTGCAGCAGCAGCCWCCCGAGCTGCCCCGCTGCATCAAAACACCCAGGTCCCTGCAGCTGGTGGCACTGGAGAGGGTGACGTGCCCAGCATCGCGTCCATCACGCACCTGAGCAAGACACCCAACACCAGGAACCTGCCTTTCTGGAAGAAASCCCTTCTTTTCTTAGAAAGAGAGCAGTTAACTTTGGTTTATGAACTTCACTACTAGCCTAAGAAAGCCCTTGTGAAACCCAGTGGATGCCACGCGTGACCAGGTGTCTCCCAGCCAAGATGTCATGAGGCCACTCGCTCAAAACCTGCATCATCGGATGATGCCTTTTACCCAAAGGCACCAAAATGGACCCGATTCTTCCAGGAGCCGGTGGGCTCGCTGCCACGGTGGGTATTGGCAAGGCCAAAGGGAAGAAAGGGAGAAGAATAGAGAGATAAATGCTGAAAGAAACCAAAACAAACAAAAAAAGGGAAGGTTTCCTGGTGACGTCTGGCCGATGTTCCAAGCGGTCCTCCAGGCCACCTCCCATAACACAAGAGCAAAACGTTCCCAAAAATGCCTAAAAGCCAAATTTCCTAGGAAAAAACCCCTCAAATCTTTTAAAGAATAATGAATATAGCAACTTGATTGTGCTTTTAAAGATTCTTCTGCATAACGTATGCCAGAAATTCTTCACCATTTATTCTTGGGTGAAGCTTCTGGTTTCGGTTTTTTTTAATTGAAGAAAACCTCCGTACCTAGAAGGAGATTTCTAAAAATAGGCTCTATGTGGTGCCACAGTTACATTCAACCGCGTGAAAAGGGGAAGCCTTTCAAGCAGCACGGGAACAAGGCAGCAGGAAGTCAAGAGGAGCATCTAAGGGGTCACCCAGCGGCAAAGAGACCACTGGAGCAGAGCAGCACTGAGGGATCATCACCCAACCAAGCCAAATCTGCAAAGATTCGGAAAGAAATTTGTCTGATTCAGCATTAAAGCAGCCTCCTTTAGATGATGGGACTGGGGGACATGTGTCCTATGGTGTGACACTGTTTGTGGGGACAACGGGCAGCAGCTGTTGGGTTTTGCTACGACYTTTGCAATGTTAATCATCCAGAAGATGGAAGCAGACTGGGATGAGAGCTTGCAGGTATTTAGGAAGAATATATATGAAAAGATTGAACTTGATTGCGAAGAGTTGCAGAAGGGCCTCAAAATGCTGAGCAAGATGACAGAGAAGGCAACGTGAGGAGCGAAGGGATGAACACCCAAACTGTAGGTCTGTGAGATGAAATTGCTGCTGCTGCTGCTACTTGGAGTAAGGATCTCGGGGCTACCACACACA